TGTGTGTGTGTGTGTGTGTGTGTGTGTGTGTGTGTGTGTGTGTGTGTGTGTGTGTGTGTGTGTGTGTGTGTGTGTTGCTTAGTTCCGCTTTTCTGTCTGTACATGGGTTTTCTGTTCTTAATATACTGCCTCTGCAGCTCTGCACAAGACTTCCTGTTCTGCACAGTTCCAGTCTGGCTGAGCAATTGGTTTGTGAGTCAAAGCTGGCCTTCCTTTATACAGGCCTTTATTATAAAATACATAAAACAAAATACACAGAAAATAAGCACTAGAAAAGATATATATTCCCTAATAAACCAGAGATTTCACAGCTTTTCATGTACTTCTACCTCTCTCACCATCAGACCTATAAGAGTTCAAGTTTGCTTTGGAAATCATGGATACAGCTAATGAGTGACCATTAGTGTGATCAACATGAAGTCTCCATCCTAAACACAAGCAGAGTCTGAGAGCTACACTTCCACAAGAAGAGCCCATTTACAACTATTGAATTTATTTGGACATTTAGAACAATAAAATAAATGCTACATTACAGTAGAGTGAGAGCAGGTATATCCATTGAGATTGAGCTGCAGGTGTGATACACAGAGAATTAAAAAACAATATTGTGTAAATGGATTGTTGTCTGCTACTTTGCTCCTTCATTTGAAAGTACATCAAAGCCTGTGGTCCTCTACCTGTAGTAGAGTAGTTTGTAAACAGTAGTTTTCAAGGAAAACACATTTGTACTTGTTTCTTGGTAGCTCCTGTTGTTTTTTCCTGGATTCTGGTAGTAGCTAGGGATACATTCATGACTATGGCTAACAGCCAGTCTTAACAATCCCAGTTTGATCTATAATCTACTATCCTTGGATATCGGCTCTGAAAATAATAGGTCTAGTAATAAGATGACACATCTTTGATAAAGAAGTTCAATACAGCAACCCTTTGTTTGTGTTAGTTGGCTTGACAAAACCTAAGCCCCAGTTAAAGATTTCATACCTGTTCATTGAGGTGTCACAGTCTGTACTTTAGTAGAAGTACAGATACCAGTGTTAAAGAATGCTGCAATAAAAGTTGAAGTACTGATTCAACTCCTTTACTCAAGTAAAAGTAAAAAGGTACAGGTTGTGAAATATACTTCACACTACTTCCACTACAGTGACAACATTACTACATAAAAGTAGCTTCTTGAAGACAATTTCGACCACCTATTTTTATGTAGAGCCAACTGAACCTTGTGCTATATCAATGTTCACGTGTTTAAAGTTCACATGGTGATTTAGGCTCTTGCTTGACACAGAACACTCTGACTTTAATCTCAAAATAGCTCCTTAACGCATTAATTGTTTTGTAGTACACAAACCTGGTAATTGTCATAATCTTTATTTTGATAAATTTAAAGTTCACAAATCTACAAATCACATTCACCACACCACTAATAATTATTATTTGCAGTAGTTTTTCCTTCTTCTGATATTAAAAGGAAAAAATGCAGTGAAAAAATGCAGAGTAAAAGAGATGGCATTTACAAATCACAAGAAGCATATTAAGCCTAAGATTCTAGTACTTGGTTGAATAAATAGTGGTTTTATTAATTTCATTATAGAGGCATACAGATCTTTTAATCAATGCACTAATTAATCAATGAAAAGAAGAAAAACAACTTATTTTTATTAAGACAGTAGTATGTAAATATTTTTCTAGACTAGTATGCTGTTTCTCATTTAAAATCCACCTTCCAAACTATTCACCTGATACTGTATGATTATGACAGAATCAATCACTTGTCTGCTGCATCAAGATCATTTCAGTTCAACTCACATCATTAAATATGCACATCTTCTGTTTCACCATTTAACTCAATAATATGTTTGGATATTAATTTGCATCTTGCAATGCACATTGTAAATTAATATGTATGTTTTTTATAGTTTTTTCTTAATGCCACAATAGCAACAAAAACAAGTGCACTAACAAGCTAATGTGTTACTCACAAGTAACTGCCAATACGTTGCCAAAAAGTATTAGATATTTTGCACCATAAATTTGTGTCTGGAAAATACTATAAGATATATATATTAATCTTTTACACTCAGCACACATCTGAGCACCAAATTACTTCATCTTGGTAAATTTCATAATGCTAGCTTCTTATATCTTTTGTTTTTCCTTTGGTCGGCACACAGTAAAAACTTTTGGTGAAGTCACTGGAGTGAACTTGAGTGGTGCCTACATGTTGATCATGATTTGTGCCACAGTCAACAGTGTTAGCGCCCATATGCCAATTGTAGACTGAAGACTGGTTGATGATGACACTCCTGGAATTTTGAAAAAAAAAAAGTACCTCCATAAAATTCTCTGGACTTATAAACTTGAGTTCTCATCTTGCTTTTATGTGTAACACTGACAGCACAATAATACAACATTATATAGGGTATTTTACATTAATAAATTCAAACTGCAGAATATGTGGCCAGAAACTTACTTATACTGCCTTCTATGATGCCCAGTGCGGTATTTTGGAGTGCTTGTGTCAGCGCTGCAGTTGCATTAGTTAGTGATGAAACCGAGTTTTGATCTTGGAACACAAGAGTCATGTCGACAACTACTGATCCATTCCTAGAATGACAAAGACAGAAGCAATACTTCTTAAAAGCAGTTGAAGGACAGATATCTAAGAAAAACATAAGTCATGGACAGAAATTTAGCCTTACTTAAAGCTGTTAACCCTGGAGCGTAGGAATGATGCAAAGACATTTTTAACCAGTCTGTTTATCTGAAAGAGAACATTATTGTGAAGTGTTTACAAGTGTTTAATAAAGGTTAAAGAAAGAAATGAAAGTCTCTTAAATCATATATAGTTCCAAGAATATATACATTTTACATTATTATGCTAGCCGACATTTAGGTTTGCTTGTTAGCACATAGTATTGGTGTCTTACCTCTTTAATCACTGTTTGAGCCAAAGTCTGAAAAGCTGATGAGCTTGGGACTGAGAGGTCTGTTTTAAAGGTTTGGTTGAGACTGAATTGTAGACCAAGGGTTCCTTCATTTGCAGAAGGAGGATCTGTTGATGCAGTGCTGGTAGTTGTTGTGGGTAATGTTGTCACTGTAGTGGAAGTGGTTGTTGTATTTGGAGACACAGTTGTGGCTGCAGTTGTATTGGAACCAACTGTTGTGGCTGCAGTTGTTGCAGCTGTAGTAATGTTAGAAGCAGTGGTTGGGGTTGTTGTAATATTGAGCACAGCTGCGGAAGCAAAGAAAGTGGAAACTGTAACTGTACCAGTGATTTATCAATAAAGAATTACTAATTTATTTTAGATAAAGAATTAAATACGTTTGGTTAAATACTTACTTGCATTAAGACTGCCTGGTATAATGTTCAGGGAAGAAGTGTTAATATTTGTACTGAGTTCTGAGGTTAAATTGTTTACTGTAGGAACTGAGGCTTTGTCTTGGAATACAAGAGTCATATCGGTAACCACTGATCCTGACCTTTATTGGTAAAGAGAGAAAGAAATACTTTTATGACAGGAAGTGAGTAGTAAATATCTGGAAAAATTACATTATCAAATTTTGGCCTTACCGGAATGATTTAACAAAGGAACGAAGGAAGGATGATCGATAGACACGTTTACATGCAGCATTTACCTGAAAGATAAAATGTAGTTTTATACTTTTACAGCAGATGCACATGCCATTGCCTGTATGAATCTGAGGCTATCATCTTGCAAATCAAATGGATTTACAAAACTAAACAGGACTTAGAAGATTTAATAACCAAACTAAATATGAATAAATGAATGTAAAAAAAGAAGAAGAAGAAGACCAGGGAAAGAGGCATTTCAGCATTTTAACCATTGCCAATTTTCAGTGAGTTTTATGTAGGCCAACAGAATATCAGCACATAGTGTTGCCGTCTTACCTCATTGGTCACTTTTTGAGCCAAAGTCTGAAAAGCTGATGAACTTCGGTTTGCGAGGTCTGCTGTAAAAGTTTCGCTGAGACTGAATATAAGACCAAGGGCTCCTTGACTTGCAGTAGGAGGATCTGTTGATGCAGTGCTGGTAGTTGTTGTGGGTAATGTTGTCACTGTAGTGGAAGTGGTTGTTGTATTTGGAGACACAGTTGTAGCTGCAGTTGTATTGGAAACCACAGTTGTGGCTGCAGTTGTATTGGAACCAACTGTTGTGGCTGCAGTTGTATTAGAGCCCAAAGTTGTCGCTGCATTTGAGGTAGCATTCGTGCCATTGGCAGTAGCTGAGGCGATAGATATAGTTGGAACAAATGTCAGCTACAATATATTAATTTTACAAATGGAGAATTAAAGAATTTCATGAATATGCCACAGATAGGACATTCACTTTTATTATAAACTGGTACATTCTGTATTTTATTAAAGAAAAACACGTTTCCTCATAGTCATGGATTGATTTAACAGACACTGATTTTCCTGGCGATAGAGGTTAAAGGTGAGGCTCCTCTTTACTTGTGTGGTTAGACTGAGTGTTGATGAGTTTATGCTGACTGCAAATAAGTTTGGGATAAGTGGTGTTGAAATCATGTTTACCTGTAGTGAAGTTGTGCTGAGTGGGGTGAGAGCATGCTGACTGGTGCTGTTGGTGAGCATTATAGTGAGGTGATTTGGTGAGGTCATGTAAAGTGGTGTTAAAGGTGTGTTGACTTGTGGTGAGGTTGTAGAGACTACTGGTAAGGTCATGCTGAATGGTGCCATTGGTGCTAATGGTACTATGGTCACCTTAATTGGTGTAACTGGGTTAACTGCTGTTCAAGTCATGTTGACTTGTAGTGAGGTTGTACTGAGTGCCAATGGGCTTGTGCTGACTGGTGCTATTGATTTGGATGGTGCTGAGGGCATGTTATCTGGTGTGGCTGAAGTTGAGTTTAGGGATGGACCGATCCGATATTACGGTATCAGTCCGATACTGACATAAATTACTTGATCGGATATTGGAGAGAAATAAAAAATGTAATCTGATCCATTAAATATCACAAAAGCACTTCACAAAACTTGCAACATGGCGTAACTCAGCTCATAACCTTAGCGCGTTGGAGCAGTATGCATCACGTGATAGAGCGGCTGTGGCGTGCGAGACTTGTTGGCGGTCAGCATTTGGATCCTCGCTACCAAACCGGCATTTCATCTCCGAGAAAGTTATCCCAGAGAGAAGTAAAGCAAGTGTGTAAGTTCATCTCTGGATGTTTGTAAAGCATTCCCACATTAAGCTTAACAACCGATGTATGGAGCGACTGCCTCTTCTCTCTCCCTCCCTCTCCTGTTACTACTTCATTCATGAAACTGATCAATGATCAGCTGATCGGCTTTTCTGTTGCGAGCCCTGTTTCTCTTGTTTGTTTATCGCCCACTTTGCACCAGAAAGAGGAAACCAGCGGCTGAACAACAGCAGCACGTTTAAGCTTGATAAGCTGTTCTTAGAATTTATTTAAGATTACTTTCTACACCAGGCTCCTTTTCTACGTAGCTGACGGCTGGTAACTGTGCAGGGGCGGGTCTAGCAAGGTTTTGCCAGGGGGGCAGGTAGGGCATTAACAGGGAAAAGGGGGGCCCAAAGAATATGTTTCTTTTTTATTCTCATTTAAAATGTCTAGCTTTTAATAAACAATTATCTGAATCTTACAACCAAAGTTTTAATCAGAGGTAAAATGTATAGAAGTCCATTACTGTATATAGTAACTATTAAGTCTAATATATACCCTAGTAAGCTATAGTACCTTTTCCATCTGTGCAGTCTGCAATTCTGTTGAAGAAAGATGCTGAATCTATTTAATTATTGTAGAAAAATAATTGATTTCTGTGCAATTTTTTTTTACACGTGCATTAAATTAAGGTTGATTACGTTGATTAAGCATCACGAGGCAGAGGGTGGGGGGTAGTTTTTATTTTTTTTGCTGGGAGTTTGCAACCCTATTAGTTAGGTTGTTTAATATTTCTGCTAAGTACTCTTTAAAATACCAGAATAGGGAGGATGGTGTAGGTTTAAGTTTATTAGCTCAGTATTGCTGAACTATGAAATATTTTGTGTGCAGTGTGTTTTTTACATACAGGTATAACAGAATAGCTTTAGTGTTTTGTTTTTAAAACGTGAGTATGAACCTATACAAAATGCAGCAAGATATTAAAAAAACTGTTTTATTGATTAAAAATAAACTATATCGGATTCCTATCGGTATCAGCAGGTATCCAAATTTATGATATCGGTATCGGTATTGGACATAAAAAAGTGGTATCGTGCCATCTCTAGTTGAGTTCAGTGGAATCAATATCACATTAAATGTTGTTAGCACAGAGCTCGTGTTGAGTGGTGGTGAGGCTGGATAAAATGGTTATAAGAGTGAGGCTGTATGATGGTGTTACATGCTTGTGATAATCACATGTAAAAATTCATAGTTATTTCATGGTAATACCTGGTGTGGTACTTGGATTCATTGTTGAAGATGATGTTGTGATTTGTTCTGTTGGTACTATTGTCACAGCTGGAAATCACAATATTAAATAAGTCATTGCACAGTCTTGTGACTATTTCCTTATTATCATATATTTGAGATCAACATCCAAAATCACAATTTATGACAATAAATGATCAGGAAGGATGAAACAACAAATTACATGAGGACCGACCTTTTGCTGAAATAGATGACGTGTTAACTGAGAGGTTAAAAGTTGAGCTTGCAACAGCTTCTGTCAAAGTTGCAACTGCAGAGCTGACATTTGGTAATGTTCTGACATCATTGAATATCAGCTCAGCATCAACCACAATGGATCCTTGACTGTAAAGGAAAAATGTAGTGATTTTCTATGCTTTCATTTTATTTGTCAATTCTTTATCACTGATTAGCCTTACATCAAGAAGGCAAGAATGAACTTATTAAATCTATTGTTAAAAATAAAAAGTAAATGGTTAGTTGTCTGGATGCATGCTCAATCATCCAGTATAGTAAAAAAGTTGAATCTTTTCATCTGGACATAAGTTTTCAGTGGGAGAAATGTTTTGTCACTGTTCCAAGTGAATTCTTCAGTCTCAGTTGATTGTAGGTTTCTGCAACCATATAAACAGTACCTTTGCACAACAACTAAAACTAGTCAACTTACCTCACAATGGTCTGAGGTCAGTTCCTTGATCATTAAATGGTTAGTAGCTAATAAAGGTTTAGTTTTAGAAAGTAATCTTAAGCTGTGTTTCTTACCTGAAACTATTGATGACAGTTCGATTAAAGCTAGATCCAAATTGTTTACTATAGACGTCGTTGAGCTAGGAATAAATTGTTTTGAAAGATATATAAATACATATCATAAAACATGAAATTTCAAATATTTTAAAATCAAGTTCATATAAGTCATATCACAAAGATTTCATACATTTTATGTTTCATGTATACGTTCCCTTGCTCATCATAAAATTCTTAGTTATTTGGAGTAACCAGCTAGAATTGTATTTATTCATATTTTTATATATCTATTGTTTAAGTACATTCAGATCAAAAGAACAAAGACGTTTAGATAAGTAGACTTTTTGGGAAGGTTAAAAAAATTCCAAGAACTCACCTGTTCAGTCACTTTTGATTCTAACTGTTTAAAGGCTGGTGAGCTTTTGTTTGCAAGTTGTGGTGAAAAGGTTTCCTGCAGCTTAAATCCTAAATTGATTTAAGGTGCTTGTGCTGGTGCGGCAGTTGTAGTTGTGGTTGGAGCTGCAGCTTTAGTTGTAGTGCTAAAAAAGGTGACATTTGAAAGTATGGATGTTCCTTGCGAAGTTAGGTCTGGAGATAATGGCTTGACTGTTGGTGAGGTCATGCTGGGTGTACTGAGTGACGCTGCGGTCATGTTGCCTGGTTCTGTGGATGGGTAAAGTAATGTTAAGGTCATATCAACTTGTTCTATGGTTTAATGTTGTTGACAACATGTTCACAGGCAAGGTTGTGTTTATTGTTATTGAGGTAGTGCTAAGTCGCATAGAGGTCATCTTGACGAGACTGGGTTAAGTGGTATTGAGGACAGTTGATCTGTTGTTAAATTGTGTTGAGTGGTGATAAAGTAATGCTGACTGGTGTTGTTGGTGAGAGTGGTGCTGAGATGATGTTACCTGGTCGGGTTGCATTTAGATGCACTGAGGTCATGCTGACTAGTGTTGTGGGTGGTGCTGATGTCACTATACCCGGTGAAGTATGTGGAATTGTGGTCATGTTGCCTTGTGGTGAGGTTGCATTGAGAGACGATGGTGAGGGTGGTGCTGATGTCACGTTTTCTGGTGAAGTTGCATTGAGTGGCGGCGAGGTCATGCTGCCTGGTGTTATTGGTGAAGATGATGTTGAGGTGATGTTACCTGGTCGGGTTGCATTTAGATGCACTGAGGTCATGCTGACTAGTGTTGTGGGTGGTGCTGATGTCACTATACCCGGTGAAGTATGTGGAATTGTGGTCATGTTGCCTTGTGGTGAGGTTGCATTGAGTAGCGGAGAGGTCATGATGCCTGGTGTTGTCTGTGAGGGTGATGCTGACGTCACGTTTACCAGAGATGCGACTGTGTTAAATAAAAGGTAATTATTGTAAAAAGAAAAGGCATTGGTGAGGTTGCAGTTCCCATTGAGACTGGGTTGATTGGTGGTGGGGTTAAATGAAAAAGAAGTTATAAGGCAGTAAAAGCATGATTAACTGTAGATGAGCTTGTGGTGTTTGATGATTGTAAAGATGAGTTTAGTGGTGGTAGGATTTAGTTTGAGGTTGCATTGCTTGGTACTGATGTTATGTTGATGTCTGATGGGCTTGTGCTAATTGAAAATAGAAGTGTTAGTGGGTTTGGGTTAATAGAATGGGAGTCCCCCATGCTCACATGTTCTTCCACCTCAGCTGTTCAGTATTTTACTCATTGAATACAGTAAAATGCTGACATCGTTGTGCATTAAAAAGAACACTGTCTTAAAAGCATGTACATTAGTTTCATTACACTAAAGTTTCTTTAGTTACGTCAAATTGTGGTAGGGGGTGGAGGGATGTCGAACAGAGGAATGGGAGTGAGGGGTGGGGAAATCTTTTAGCCCATTCAGCTCTAGGCTCCTTCAGCTTCTGTTTTTGTTACCTGTTGTTGAATTGTCAGTAGACGCTGCTCCCACTAGTCCTGTAGAATATTAATTGGATTATTATTCTCATCTGAATTTAGGCAAAAAGCAAAATTATACAAATTCAGTCTATACTTTCATATATTTTAAATATAAATTGCTATTAGCATCATCGCTCTATTTGCACTCTCTCTCAATCTCTCTCACACACACACACATACGTGCAAACACATGAAACCACAAATATCAAGAGAGTGAAATGACAGAAAGATACAACCCAACAAATACCTGCTAATAGGAGGAGGAATGTAAGAGGTTCCATCCTCCCTCTGCCTGGTTCCTGTAAAACACAACCCTCCATAATTATATTTGTAGTTTTTTGTTTGTTTGTTTGTTTGTTTTGTGTTGTTTAAATTTTCCCAAAGAAGTAAAATTTGCACTTACAAAAATGTGTGAACAAAACAAAATGACTTTTTACTTGTTGACTCTGGTTCAGTTTTCTATTCTATGTCTCAGTTTGGCAGTAGTTTTCATTCACTCATAACAGGTGTGGAAAAGAGTTACAAAACTGCCACAATATGAATAAACTAAAATTACAGAGGACATGTTTGAGAAATACTTTTTCTTTTCATCTGAAATATTTAAACTTATATATTACTAAGAAATAATCAAATTAAGAACTGTGGTCTCAGGCATATGGTGTGACAGCATGTATAATGAAATTGAATAAATAATAACAAAATATGAATCTTCTCTCGTATGTTCTGTGATCAAAATTCTTACTATTTGTCATTTTCTGACATTAAAACTATATATATATATATCATGAATTTATAATCATATAATTCCATCTTTCTAGTCTATCAGACTGTTTGCAATTAGAAGCAATTTAAGTATTTAATAAATATCAGTATGTATTTGTTAAGTTGAGCTTTTTTCTTTACTTGGAATTCTTTGAAATTCCAAAGAGCAAAGGTACAAGAACATTTTTTTCATATTCACTGTACATTCAGCTGTCAGTGCAGAGTGGCCACACCTTGACAAGCTAAGCAGGGCAATCTATTATTCAAAATACAAAGAACCACTCAATTACACATTCAGCATACAACTTTTTTGGCTTTAAAAGTGAACCAATTCATTGCTGGCAGGCATTTTCTTGTTATTTAACAGTCTAATGTGAAATGAACAATGGCATTCAAAAATGCATTTGATTAATTTGAGAAAAATACCTGAATGTGAACAGGAAAAACTAACATTGTGAGAAACTTTCAGAAAACAGTAATCCAAATTTAGAAATGTGATGATGAAAACTCCCAATTTAATTAAGAATGTATGAATCTACGGCTTATTAATAGACTTCTCAAAGCTTATAAAATCAATTAGAACATACAAAACTTTGACCTTTTTGGTGTAAACTAATTATGCATTCATTGTATTTTTAACATGTATTTGTGTATCAGAATTGACTGTGCAGCAGCATTTTAGTTAGTGATAAAAAAAAATGTATTCTTTCAAATCTAATTCAAATGACTGTCATATGAAAAATATATTTATAACCAGTAAGAAGTCTGGTTTCAGCCCTATGTTACAGCTTTTACACTCAACACAGTGTTAGTGACATCATGAATAATAAACATACATATATAATAAAAGCCTTCTCTCACGTACTTTATTGTCTGTGAAGGTTCTCAGTCATCCAGGTCATCGTAGTCAAAGGAGCTTGCAAAGAAAAGCGTCTGGACTTCTTTAAGTTGCTTGAAGACGTTTCACCTCTCATCCGAGAAGCTTCTTCAGTTCTAAGGTCAAATGGTGGAGAGTCCCAGATATAAACCTAGTGGGAGTTTCCCCCCACAGAGGAACAAAAGGACCCCCTGATGATCCTCTAATCGCCTGAGCCAAGGTGTGAAACTGGGTGTGGGTCCCAATCAGCCAGAGTTTTGGGTGAGCTCATTGTGAAACCTGGCCCCACCTTATCATGCGAATTCCTGAGGTCAGATGGCCCAGGATGTGAGTGGGCATTAAGGCGTCTGGGAAGGGATCTCAAAACTGGATTATAGATGGCAGAGAGTTGGTGTCGTAAACCCCCGCCTCTGTTCAAAGATGGTCGCTCACAGTGGACATAGATGGCTTCTTTCACTCCTCTTTCAAACCATCTGTCCTCTCTGTCCAAAATGTGAACGTTGGCATCCTTCTGGGACTCTCCACCATTTGACCTTAGAACTGAAGAAGCTTCTCGGATGAGAGGTGAAACGTCTTCAAGCAACTTAAAGAAGTCCAGACGCTTTTCTTTGCAAGCTCCTTTGACCACGTACTTTATTATTAAGACGCTGTCTGCTACTCTAGAACATAAAAAATGACTTAATCTGATTTATTAATAATAATATCATGCAATGTCTAAATGTTTTGTATATTATTGGTTTGATCATATTATGATCATTTAAGTCTTTAATAAATATAAATGTGTGTTTGTTAAATACGTTTTTGTTTAAACAAGGATTAAACACACGCAAAAGTACAAAAACATTTTCTCGTATTTGTTATGCAGAGCTGTCAGTGCAGAATGATGACACCTTGACAAGAAATTAGATGTTGGTGGTGTAAATTAATTCCTTATTAATTATAATTTTAAATATTTACTTGTGTTAATATCGGAATTTAAAAAATAAAAAAAAATAAAAATTTCTCTTACCTCTTGGGAGTCTAACTGTGCAGCAGTATTCTTTTAGTCAGTATTAACCGCACCCTGAATGGTAGGCTAACTAGGCAACAGACTCCTTACCAGCTGGAGTCCAAATAAGTAACTGAAGACTTGTGCCTTTGGTTATTTGTAAGTGAAGCAAGAAATTCTTGCTTTTTCAAAGTGTGACATAACTAGCTGGACTTGTTTTGTTCATCATTTTCTAAGCAAAGAGAATGTTGAAAGTCTTAAGGTGCAATGACAATGCCAAGTCCATTCTTTCAGTTTCACACTTTCATACATTTCAAAATCTTGTCATGAGTAGTGCTGCAAGGACTACTGATTAAATTGTATCATTAGTACTTGCAATAAACACTGCTCTGGGTTTGAGTTGTCTTTAAACAAACTATGGTTAAACAACCTATCAATTTTTTTTTTAAAGTTCAATCTGTGTCATTTACATAAAATATCAGCAAAACCTAAAGTCACTTTCAGAAAAAGTCTGATCAGTGAAACTAGTGCTTTTAGTATTCTCTCTGAGCAATGACACTTAGTAGCTTTTATCTTTTATTTTTCTATCTTACTTATAAAATTTCTGTTAAAATAAAAAAAACCTGTCAAAAAGACTAATTTCTTTCATTCTTTGAGCTTACAAACAATATGCAATTTCCAATATCTACAATAAACCAAATTATTATTCACTGTATAAACCAATGATTGTAGAAAAGAACTTTTCTGCAATCATTGGTACAAACACAAGTATTTGCAAATATAACTGGTTGCTTAACAGTGTGAATTTCTTTTTTTCATCTGTTTATTGTTTTTGTTACAGCTTAGGAATAATGCACTGCCGTTATATTTTGTGGTGTCTGAATTCAGAGATGTGTAACAGTGAACATTTTAAGTCTATATTTTGAGATATTTTGATTACATTTACAATGAAGCTTAATACACACTTGGACCTTGTTTTATCAGTCATACACAAAAAGTTGAAATGCAGAAAGTGTGATCACACGGATTCATCTGAAATCTTAAAACTAAATAAATTATGAATCCATCATAAGCCTCGCACCTAGGTCTGTGTATTTCAGGTGTGTGAAATAAATTAAAATAAAAGTGTAAAGCCTCCATATGTAAACATTTGGATCTTGTCTACCATTCTGCCCTCTGCCCTTTATTATTGGCCATTATTTTAGTACTCATCACTGCCTTTTATTTGAGTAAGTCTCTCATAAGGTTCTCATTTGGAACCTTCCTATTTGCATACATTTTATGCTGGTCTGGTGCGGAGTCATATCAGTTGTTCTGATGCCTGGCTTTCACTGCACATTTGTACTTAGCTGGCTGAACTGCTTTTAGTTCTCTATACACTAACAATTAATTATCTGGTAACTTTTGTCTGTATCTTAGTGTTTGTCTCTTTCATGTGTATTATGTATACTCAGTTAACCCTATTTTGTATTCTTTAGTTAATTGAGTGTCTTTCCTTGAGATGTACAATATGTGGTTTTTAAAGGCATAAGAACTGCTGGATAAGATTTTTACTGCAGTCCTAGTTTTGATTGCCAAGTTTACACCTTAGAAGCAGGATGTTGACAGTATTTCTACTGGAATATTTAGTCTTGGTATTTTTCTAGAATGTGTTGTCGGTACTTTGGGTGTGTGTGTTAACACTAAGAGCAAGTTTGACTACATTACACTGTAATCGCAGTT